GCAATATTCCATCAATAGCAAAAGATTTAAATAATACAGTAACTGATATTATGAGCATGAGGGTTATTAAGAAAGTCACAAAGCCAGATCACCTGAGCAATGTAGTCGACCTCCGACAAAGATTAGAGTGTTGGGAACTTAGTCTAACCCGGGTCCCTACGGGGTTGATAAGAGGGGAGAGGGGAGATAAGGTGGAATGGGGCTTAACGTTGCGCTCAAGATTATTGCACTTATATAGCGACGTGCATTTGTGTGTGTTTGTCCGGACAAATGCCAATTTTATAGTGCTAGCCCACTGAGATAGCATGCCGCAGTTAAACATGAATACCCCACTCAGACACAGTATACTTTAGCTACTTGTTTAGCCCCTTAATGCCGAGCGCCAGGCAGGGAAACAACAAGTACCATATCTTAATGCCTTTTGGTATGACGCGGCGGGGATCGAACCCCGGACCTTCCGCTCTCGGGGCGGATGCTCTACCACTAGACCACGGAGGCGGTCAAGGGCGAGAGAAGTTACCAGTTACACATTGGATTTCCTATTTTTTCATCCGTACTTACTTAAATGCATGATGGATGTCCGAGAGACAAAGTCGTGCATCTATGTGATAATAAACTGTAATGGCTGTTCTAATGTACCTAATGCAAAACACAACTGTGAAATGTTTAGAAGATCGCTAGCATATGACTGAAATCGGCGTAAAACCATACCCACTCACGTAGTGATATGAAAGGGACCAACCAACAGCGATATATTGACAAATCGTTGATAATATATTCGACTCGTTATTTCCTATGGTGGGATCTCGAACTTATATCTATGAATTTCTTCTCCTCTATATCGAAACCATGTTATATCGACGTGTTTAAATTTCTGCGTTCATTTCGAATAATAACTACACCTGATACCCCGTATCGGGGGTATCAAAAATCAGTTTAAAACAATCACCCATTCATCATTCACATGAACATAATCTGTTTGTTTGTTTGCTTGTTGTTTAACGCCGCACTCAGTGAAATTCAAGCTATATGACGGCTGTCTGTAAATAATCGATTCTGGACCAGACACTCCAGTGATTGACATCATGAGCATCGATCCACGCAATTGGGATACGATGACATGCATCAATCAAGTCAGCGAGCCTGACCACCCGATCCCGTTAGTCGCCTCTTGCGACAAGCATGGTCACTCTTTACGGCAAGCATAGGTTGCTGAAGACCTATTCTACCCCGGATCTTCACGGGTACACAACATCATCAAGTACCAACAATCTTGTACCAAAAATCTTGAAAAACAAATTCAGTACCACAAATCAAAGACATATTATAAGTAAGGAGGGTTTGGGAAGGTTAGGCAACAACAACTAAATGTGTTATGGTGACAAAGTTTCGAGTATGATACAATAAAATAAACCCTACAAAATCCACTCCAAAATAATTAGACACGTTTACTTATACCGTTTTACGATATATCAAGAGCATGTGTTAATGAATCACAATCAAATTAGTGATTTTGCGGAAACGTGAGCGTATCCTGCCTCGTCGGTGGCATCCGTCACAAACACATGCACAGGCAAATCAAATGTTCACCAGAAAAACAACACGGGAACAAATGGTATAAGTCAAAATAGATAATTACATCTGGCATCATTGGTATCTAATTTGGAAATGTCCTCCACAAGTGTGCCATGAAAGTTTTACCGGAGTCTTCACTGGATTTCGTTATTATCATTTGTACACGTGTATTATCACTCACATCATCAATGCATCAGTAATGATAACAACAACAGGTGATCCGTACACGTTATATAACAATGTTTTGAATTTTATTCAATATGAAAAGTTGCAATATCTCGACTCTTTGCCTGCCCCTTGTCTAAATGAGTTAGTTTTTATCACGTCTCCAAAGAACGAAATCGTATATCAAATATTAAGATAATTGACAATGCCTCCAGATTGGAAAGCCTTTATGATAACCAAGAGGGAGTACTTAATTTGTATGAGTATTTGATTGGTTTATATGAAGCTAGGTCTGACATGACCTTGAAGACTTGGTCCACTTCAGACACCACCGAGGCCCTTTAACCTTTTTTTTCCGGCTTTGGCCACACCAAGATTAGCTTATTATACCTACCTCCCCCGTAAATAGTATATTCTATGGAAGGCAACTTGCATAAATGGGGATTTCTATAGTGATGAAATTCCTATAAATACAACGGAACAAATAAAAGGGATATGGTATGATTGTTTGTGGATTTTCTTTGAAAATGGACATTGGTAAATGTCTGTGACCTATGGACATTCGGGGACGATCAGGGAGATAATTGTAACTTTGTTAACCGAATGGTTTACATTATTTAGATCTAAACATTTAAACATTTTGTTGTTAGACATGATAATCAATACGCATATATAAACTGATAAAGAACTTTATTTCATGTCGAGACAGTCAAATATTTAGATATTCTCGTTGTCAATACACTCAAGATGAATCACCTATCATATATTATGAGAACGCAATAACATTGAAAATATATTTTGTTAGAATTGCACAAGTCTCTGAGGCAATAATTATTAGTTTAAAACATAATTTCTAGATCATATAAATAATAAGAACAAGTTGTCCCAAAAAGAGACTGGTGTCCTGTTCACATATCTAGACTTGCCTATTAGGAGGATAGAATTACTACACATCCATGGACCTTTCTTTCCGTACAGCCTTGTAGCAAGTCTAATCAAATTGTGTCTGAAAAAATATATAAGTTGAAATTAGTGACGATATGAAACATGTATGTATTAAATCTGAATGAAAGATAACCTTGCAGCAAACAGGACACGAACACTTTAATTAATCTTTGGTTTCATTTTGAATTAAATGGATACTGTTTACTTTTGCAGTCTGGAGAAAATATTGACACATTTTTCGAAAACCTTACGTCATCGTCGACCTCACGTCAACCCGTTAATGATGACATTTTTCAGTTCCATTTTTCTATCGTTTGGCTGAGATTTGAAAACTTCTTTTTCGACAACGCATAGATTTACATACACACACGAAATGTCAATCTTTTTCATGATAAGTATTTTTCAAACTTTGATTTACATTCTTCAAGCCTTTCAAGTTTTCCAATTATCCCAGTGAAAAAGGACAGCCTGAGTGGCGACATATTAACACATCTCCTGGTTCACATTCTGGGAAAGTATTTTCAACAAATATGAACACTTTGGCGAGAAAGACGTTGTGGTAAACAGGGAAAATGTAAGGCTACATGCCGCATAGAGTGGTAGTATGCCATATTTGTATAAATAGTTTTTATATTTCACGCAAACACCACCTTCATATTCCACAGATGAAAATATTCATTAATCACGATGAAGTAACAAATACTATCATGAACTAGTTTCATGCTCGTGACGTAATACATGTAGGTAAATAATGTAAAAACATATCTGTGTCATCGAGTTTTAAACAAACTTAGAGTTAAAAGTGTGCAGAACTTATTTCCATCTCTTTATTGTCTGAGTCAGGGTTCTGTGCTGTCCCGAAGAAAGCGGTAAAGGCACGGTTCAATATCTCCCTCACTGATAAACATCTGTAACCGCATTCCTCTCCCCATACGTAGCGTGTTTGCCTCCAGTTAAAATATCCCCTGCTCTTAAAGTGTAGGATAATTATCATGTAAGTGAAATCTTTCTCATGCACATATAAAGTTATACATGGTCAGGCGATATGTCGAACATAAGTATATTTGAGACAGAGAGAGAGAGAGAGAGAGAGAGAGAGAGAGAGAGTGAGAGTGAGAGAGAGAGCAGAGAGAGAGAGAGAGTCAGAGAGAGCAGAGAGAGAGAGAGAGTGAGAGAGAGAGAGAGAGAGAGTGTTTAATACCAAAATACTGATTGTTCAAACGGTACTTGCAAATGAAAATTATTTGTATTGAAACAGATAAGAGAGAGAGAGAGAGAGAGCGATTAGTTAATTTCAGAATTTGTCTGATTTCGCAAAGAAACGAATTTATAAATATTGCCTTCCATGCCATGCCTTGTCACGATTTTGCATGGAAGGAAACCGATGCTGTTATAAGTTTCAGGGTATAGATTCATTCCTTACCTAAATGATTTGATTCAAATGTTGACAAAATGCATTCACAAAGCACCATTCTTACGAAAATAATACCAAGGTTGATAGTGACACAATACCATATTTATAGAAAATATCAAATATACAGTAACCACTACCTTTTTTCATCCCATCTTGCACCGAGTGTACGACTCATCATTAATGCGGGGAATAGAGGAAACACAATCGGGAAACTAAACGATTAAAACAAAATATGTTATGGTAACAAATAAGCATGTCATTTCGTCGGATTTGGGGGTTTGAGCGGATTTCGCAAGGTATGCTTCCTCTTGTGTAGACTTACAAGTGTGACCGGGATTACTTGCATATAGGGACACGTCCAGGTGTACATTATAGCTTTGCTCTATGTTTTTTTTTACACCAGCATATAAGTATTGTTACAGTTTCTCTATTTATATACGCTCAAATCAGTAGCACTGTTTGGAGGTGTGCATATTTCACTGAAATTTATTATAAACTATGTTTCAGTTGGTGATATCTGAAATGTGAATCATGTTTTTCCATGGGAATATTAGAAACAATTTGCGTAAACAAAACGAACGGTTGTTCTGCCTGTTTCTGTCAAGGTCGGAGTGGTTTTAGAGGTCAGAAACTATACAGGGTGTCAGGTGTTGGGGCGAGCGCAATTTGAAGGCTATCAACACTTAACGGCCACCGGCAGTTGAGGGGTCTGTGACGGGGCCCATGCCAAGTGTATTTGATTTTGCTAGGCCCAATCCTGAATCGCGGCAAAGTGCGACCAGTGCAGGCAAAGACGCTCTTGAGAAAACGTGAGTTGCTTGTCTGCCAAACCTGTTGTTTGTCCGAGGAAAACTGTAAGTGGATAAATCGCAGACAAATATGTAAACAATGGTTGGAATTGTTTCAATCGTCCCTGTGTGTTTTGTATCCATTATAAAAGGCCGCGCGGCACAGGTTAGAGGCACAGTCAGCTCAGCTGCTCATTCAGAACAGGTGGAATAGATACACTGCAAGCCACACGGCGAGCTACACTTGTCTTTAAAACTACACTATATCTCGGAGTTATACTGAAGTCTACCATCATGATTCCTCAACTTGTCGTAGGAGCCTTGCTAGCAAGTCTTGCCTCAGCAGCAGTCAAGCTTGACATTAAGTGTTCCGACCACGGAGCCTTCAACTGCCACTCCTCGGATGCCGGAGCCTTCACCAGATGCCTCGACGGTCAGCTCTACGAGTTCTACTGCCCAGATGGACTCCACTTCAACACCCAGACCCAGACCTGTGACTGGCCCGAATCTGCCGACTGTAGCTACAAACTCGGAGGAAGTGCCAAACAAGTGAAGAAAGTGGCTGAATCTGCTTCAAAGGTGGGTGGATCTGCATCAAGCGGTTCCAGCGGTTCCAGCGGTTCCAGCGGCTCCAGCGGCTCCAGTGGTCATGGTGCTACCCCCCATCCCTGGTGGAGACCAAAGAACGTAGACCCTGCTTCATGGGAAAGAACCGATAACCTCTTCGAGCTTCCATTCGACAAGGACAGCAGCGATGGCGGAGAACACACATCAAACTCTGGCAGCTCTGGTAGCTCTGGCAGCTCTGGAAGCTCTGGTAGCTCTGGCAATTCTGGAAGCTCTGGTAGCTCTGGCAATTCTGGAAGCTCTGGAAGCTCTGGAAACTCTGGCAGTTCGGGTAGTTCGGGTAGTTCCGGCAGCTCTGGTAACTCTGGTAAATCTGGAAGCTCAGGCGATCACTCTCACGGAGCGGGTGGTCACGGGTCCCCACAGGAACCGACTCACGACCACAAACCCGCCCCACAGCCTGAGAAACCCGTCCATAACCCCATCAGCGCCTCTGCTGACAAGACCCACAGACCAGACCACGGCAGCGTCTCCAAGCCTGAAGGAGGTGAGTCTACTTCGAATATAGAGCGTATCGGAGTAATTACAGTCCGTACATAACAAATTTATACCTGAGTTACGAATAACTGACAAAACTTCCAGAATGTTTAGGCTGTCATATTGCAGAATATTATTGAAAACACTCATTAATTAACCCCTTTTAAGATTCTTCAGGACAGGAATAAGAGCAATCATGTTAGACTTGCTTTCATTTAATGATTTTAGGGTGGCATTTATTAAAGACATACAGCTAACACAAGGTTAAGACTTCATATCAACTTTTACCAAAGATTTAGTGACTCGTAAAAATGTAAAACAATCACATGGTCACAAAGATCAGTCTGGTAATTGCGTAACATGTACCATTAAATTTTGTCTAATCACGTACTTTTATAACTTTGCAAAACAATTATAGCTATTTCCAGACAATTATGTTGATATGTTTAGTATACAAAAATGTATATTCTGACCCTACTAAATTACTTCAGCAAAGCATGATCGATCATTGTAGTATCACAAAGGAATGCGATTTCATTAACGTTAATGTTTATTGAGAGAATGACAACATAAATCAAATAGGCATGTTTCATTGCTAAAATGTCCATTTCAATTTTCCAAAAGTAAACATGTGTACATTCGTCTAAGTTGGTATTCATATATATAGACGAGTGTCAAATCGTTATCGGCTTCGAGTAATTTAATTTAAGGATGCTGGTTTATTGAGATAATCAAATTCAGCTTTAAAAATTCTCACGGAATATAAAGGAAACACTTTTTAAAACACGTGGATTAACAAGACAATAACGACACCATCGGCATTTTAATGTGGATCAAATGCACATGGCATTCATATTGGTCGACACACAAAAAGGATTTGTTTTCCGGGCCATGTGGAGAGAGCTCTAAACACGACAATGTCAAACAGCGTTATTTTCTAATATGATTGCAAACAAATGTCTCTAAATATACCCATGGACATCTGCGTAACGAACATTTATTTTACGTCAACTGCAATATTTTGATTTTAACCCGTTAACCACATGTAATGTCATTGTTTGGGATGTTAATATTGGCGAACCTTGTCGATCTATGCACATACGTTTTAGTACCCTCGTTGTGTGGAAGCACGTGGTTGCCGGGATGGCAAACACCGCTGTCTTCAGTGTTGACACGACAACACAAGGCCGGTTCTACAAGATCAATACAACACCGCTCTTACCGTTGGCAGATTAAATGTTGTTTTAATTCTTTTCTTTTTACGAACGTTCATTCGATGACATTGTAAACGGTATTAAAATATTTCGTCTGCAATCGTGTGTACATTTTAAGAAAATAGTCGTGTGATATATTCTCATTTTATTTAAGACGTAAATGAACGAATAGCCGAGTAATGATACCATTCCAAATTCCGCTAATTTTCTTAGAACGGGCTACCTGTAGAGCAGTACATGCTTACCCATGTTCGCCACTATTTTGCAATTTACGCCCAATGGAATCTCTTTCGCCGATTCTCTGGCGTTGAAGTTTAAAATTATAGTCTTTTTGAACTCTGTGCTAAATGATAAAATACAACTTTAGATGCAACGGTTATACACACTCTTTACTTTCTCCTCAGAATGTGGCCCCCACAACTGCAAGCTCCCCAGCTGCTACTGTCCCGGCTCCAGCATCCCCCACGGCCTCTCCCCCAAGAGCACCCCCCAGATGGTCATGATCACCTTCGACGACGAGGTCTCCGCCGCCTACTACGGCTACTTCCAGCGTCTGTTCCGTCCCGGCAGATACAACCCCAACGGTTGCCCCGTCCGTGGTTGTCTCTACGTCAGCGGCTCCGGCACCGACTACGACCTGGTGTATCCCCTGTACGCCATGGGTGTTGAGGTCGCCAGCCACACCTTGTCCCACAGATTCCCCCACACCTGGTGGTCCACCGCCTCGTACAGAGAATACTACGATGAGGTCATCGGCATGAAGAGAGCCCTCACCGAGAAGGCTGGCGTGCCCCAGGAAAGCATCAAGGGTTTCCGTGTCCCCTTCCTTCAGCTTGGCGGCGACAATATGTACAAGACCCTTTACGATGGTAAATTCACTTACGATACTTCCATGTTCACCGGGGCTGTCTGGGAAGGCGGCGAACCAGTCTGGCCCTTCACCCTTGACTTTGTCCCCGGACAGTACTACTGTCAACACGGCCCCTGCCCACAAGACCAATACCCCGGCCTCTGGGAGATCCCTGTCCAGCGTTGGTACGGAGTTGATGGTCACTCTTGCGCTATGCCCGATGGTTGCACTTCCACTGGTGATGCTGACGAAGCTCTTGAATTCTTCCGTAGCAACTTCCTCCGTTATTACAACTCCAACCGCGCCCCACTTGGCATTTTCGTCCACGCCAGATGGTTCCACACAGAACATCACATCGAGGCCCTTGACCGCTTCATCGACGAGCTGTTGCAGATGGATGATGTCTACATCGTCACACCGTCCCAGGTGATTGAATGGATGAAGAACCCAACTCCTGTTCATTCAGTTGGCGGCTTCGGGCCCTGGTCTTGTGAGGGAGGAGTTGACAAGAGGAAGTAAGCCTGATAACGCTACACTATATATGACGAGAAACAGTGAACTTCACTGAAAAAGTTCAATGATCTGTTAAACGATGCACTTAATACCATCAACAATCCCTGTTCAGAACATTGCTCAACGTTTTCAGGTTTTTCAAGTTAGTCGTACTGTCAGGGTCACGTTCCTCATATCATTACAATTTCAGAGTGTTTATCAGATCATTCATTTGTATTCTAAAATACGAAGGCCATTCATTATGATCCATTTCTCATATTTTGTGATAAATATCTCCTTGAGAGTCAAACGTGACTATCATCTATCCACATACGCCATCTCGTTTTCCTGTGTTCGTATGTATACCATATCTCTATATTTGATCAAAATCTATATTTTTCTTCGAATTACATACAACGTATGTTTCAAATCAAATAGAAGATAATGTTTCTAATGAAATAGATGAGAGGCAGCAAATGCTGCAAGCCGTTGAGACGAGAGAAGGATGCATTTATCTGATGCTGAAAGTCGAGGAGAGATTTGATTGTACATAAACCGTTATGTTTGGAGTGTGTGTCTTGAGAGTGTGTGATAAGGATCCTATGCATGTATGTATGCGAATTTTGATTGTGTTGTATATTTACCTCATTTGTGTCACATAGTCTTGCCATTGTATCATATCAGCGGTCACATGAAGGCTGTATATTGCTTATATCCCATTGCAACAATAAAACTTCATTGAAATTATTTGAAACTTTGTATTCATTTCATTCACACTGCCGAGTGTAGGAGTGTAGGATGACAACCCATGACAACAATCGGGACGAAAACGTTACTTAATCATGTTTCATACTTTGAATATTACTTAGGTTACAAACATTTACCTTCTTATGCAAAATGTCGGTGCCACCGTTAAAGCAGGACATGCTTACACCTGCGTCATCACTGATTTTCAGTGGTTTATTCATTTATTTATCACTATTTGCCTGTAAAGCCAAATGGAATATGGTTCGAAAGATAGTCGCAACTGGTTATTCTCTAACGTTGACGTTTGGAATTTATATGAGACGAGGTTTTCGTTTACTGGGGTATTTCATTGAGTCGTTGATAAATACCTGCGACTGCGATATGTCCACACAGCCTCTCATTATCACGAATAGTAAATACGATGCTCTGCGACTGATTATCAGTTGCACTTTATCCTGCTAGGAAGACACTTGTTTCAACGACCTGCTTTTCATTTCATTGTTGTCATATGCAATTATGACATTGTTCCCAGTTGTTTGAATTGGTGCTCATGATGCGAATTGTCAATCACTGGATTTCCGGTCCAGACTTGAATAGTTACAGACCACCGTCGTGAGTGAGTGCGCCTTTAACCAACAAACACAACCGTTACAACAACAGTTATATGCAATGGGTGTTCACTTGTCTAGTTCTACAGATATTACACGTGTGAATACTACCATGTAGATCTAGTGAGTAGATATACCAGTGAACATATATACGCTTCGGCACCCGCACACTGCTGACCTCTCAGTATAGTCAACCAACTTTCACACACTTCCACCAAATGTCACTGCAATGAGTATAGGTTTGGCTTAAACAATAATATTATGATAATCACTTCATGTGGAACATATGAAAATTCAGCGAAATGCTGTTGAGTAGCACTGGTATACACTAAAATAATAGGGTACGGTGCTTTCACTACATATTTCTCCGCTCCCGTGGTAATACCACTGTGGTAGTCGCTATGCATGTTAGCGTTTAATACTGGCTGACGTCACTTGCTGTCAGTCATACCCAAACGTGTGAAAATGTTAAGCTTTCATACTATACTCGACGCAAGAATCAACACCTCATTTTTGTTGTGTTGTGCGTCGAGAGAATATGCAACCGTTTATTTTTAAAAAATGATGCAAAAAAATGATGTTTTGTATTCGCTCACAGAAGAATGCATGTTTCTTGTTTGTAACCGTGTAGTGTTATGTTTGACATAGAATGACATGGTTTTCCCAAACAACTCAGTTCAAAGGCATCTCAAATGCTTGAGCCTCATGACGAAGTTGTTAGGCTTTGATGGAGGATTTGTATGTGGCGAGGAACCCGACCCCGGCCGTAAGTCGAAGTGTCTCATGAGCTAAGACAGCTTATCCTAGTCATGGTTACTACCGTCATCACGTTATCAGTCTCTGGCCAACTTGGCGTGACTCCTCATCTTCATCTGGAAGGAGGGCAAGGGTAAATATTGTTTTAGAATACGTTCTTGCGATTGTTAAATGGAAGTTGGCAATATACACATAGAGCGAAATAAATCAACAAGTGAAAACCAAAATAACTGGGGTTTATCTTTATATAATTCAGCGGTGACATTGACCTTGGTATATGCTGGCGAGAACCTTGCACCCGACGTCGCCAGTGGTACTGCGGCGATTCTATATGCTGGCGGTAGTTGTTTGTAGATTTCATATCTGTTTAGTTACTGTTGCACGCGACAGATTTTGACCCACGCGGTGTGCGCATGTCAGTCTTACTTCCATCAACCGGTTAAGCAATGCTGCCCCAAGTATTTCTCCTTAGCTTCAAGATTATTGACATATTAAACATTTAAATCAATGGTGTAACGCCACATCCAGATTAAGTAAATGTTTAAGTCATATGAGAAACATCTGTTTCAGATTGCTGCAAGGACTGCAATCCGGTTTCATTTCAAAAGCTGAAAAATGATTTCTGTTATTTACTATGAAGAAGACAAAATATATCACTTACTCAAGCTGGACCCGATCTTAAGATAAATGGACAATTACGTTTTAAAACCACGTTTCGTTAATTATCTGAAACGAGTAAAACAAAAAGAAGGTAACCTTTTAGAGTATTTCATTTGGAAAACATGGAAAAAACTATCCCCGTCTTTCACAGTAACAATCGGGCGTTAGGGTAGCCTAGTGATTAAAGCGTTCGCTCGTCACACCGAAGTCCCGTGTTCGACTCCCAACATGAGTACAATGTTTGAAGCCCATTTCCGGTGCCCCCCTGTGGTATTGCTGATATAGTGCCAAAAGCGGCGTACAACAATATTCACTCACTCATATTCGCAATAATTTAAAGTTGATCATGATTGGAAAATATCCAATCAGGTTGATGCTCAACGAGGGCTGTCACAAGGTGACTATCTCCCCTCAATTATTACTTTATGTGTTACTTTTAAGTGCGGGGCGGTCGGTGGCCTGGTGGTTAAAGCGTTCGCTCGTCACGTCGAAGATCCGGGTTCGATTCCCGACTAAGGTACAATGTGTGAAGCCCATTTCTGGTGCTTGCGGGTCTTATAGTTATTCGTTATGGTCAAAGGAAAAGGTCGAATGGTCTGATTCACCATAAACTACGTCAAACATACTGAATATCTGATTGATTATATTCAAGATGATACACCAACCCAATGATCCACCCTGAAAATATATAATGACTATTTCACAACTATTCCAAGGTCAACCAATCTGTCTAAAATCTTATATTACTTCACAAAGTAATTCTCGTTTACTGGTTTCAAAGTAAACACAATTTATGGATAACAACTTCTTTATTTTACTCTAATGACGACGTTTCGGTATAGATCCTCATACCGTTGTCAAGCACGGCTAAAACATGAAACATGGTACAGAATATATATCGTGGGTGGAGGATTAACAGAAACAACAATTGTATATATGAGAGAGATTAACATGAGTACGTTAAATAATAACAACAGAGGGATAATGCTGTAACAGCTGCCATTACAGTAAAATAAAGAAGTTGTTATCCATAAATTGCGTCTACTTTGTCATCCGCCAACTTCTAAAAACTGCCTTTCAAACAATTCAAGTTTACTGGTTTATTTTAATTTTTATATTGTACGTGACACGATATCTGGACATGCAGTGCTTATTCCTAACATGTCACGTTCATATCCCTAGGTATATATATGTGTGCGGTTTCTTTACAAATATACCCACGTCTTCAGTATTGACTTTTCAATTGTTCAATCATGCCGTCGGCTAAAAGCGCAGAGGTCAGAGGCCCCCGAGCTAGTGTAGAGAGATCTGGGGAGACATTGCAGATCGCTGTTTGAAGCTTTGGCAAATTTCTATTCCAATACGTTGTGCGACATCGTGAAGTCGAGGTAGCTGTATGTGAGGTCGGGGTAGCTGTATGTGGGACATGGTGAGGTCGAGGTAGCTGTATGTGGGACATGGTGAGGTCGGGGTAGCTGTATGTGAAGTCGGGGTAGCTGTATGTGGAACATGGTGAGGTCGAGGTAGCTGTATGTGGGACATGGTGAGGTCGGGGTAGCTGTATGTGAAGTCGGGGTAGCTGTATGTGGAACATGGCGAGGTCGAGATAGCTGTATATGATGTCGAGGTAGCTGTATGTGGGACATGGTGAGGTCGAGGTAGCTGTATGTTGGACATGGTGAGGTCGAGATTGCTGTATTTGGGACATTGTGATGTCAAGGATACTGTATGTGGGACATGGTGAGGTCGAGGTACAAATGTAGCTGTATGTTGGACATGGTTAGGTCGAGGTAGCTGTATGTTGGACATGGTGAGGTCAAGGATACTGAATGTGGAACATGGTTAGGTCGAGGTAGCTGTATACTATCCACACTGAACACTGAATACCAACACCATATACTGCAACATGTAATTATTATATTTTAAGAACATGTGTAAAATTGTAACGCCACTGTAACATCATCAACAAGCAGACGAATATGAACACTCTATATGTCCTAACAAACAAAACCAACAAATGTGAATGTGTTTTTAATATTTTTTTCAACATAATCTCCATGCTTTTCAAATACACTTCACACTTCACATATTCATAGTGAAGCTTTTCAATTCCAGTCGGGAAGAAGTTTTCTGAAGCCATACTGAAAAACCAATGTAGAGCGGCTTTGAGTGAGTGAGTATGGTTTTACGCCGCTTTTAGTAATATTCCCGCAATATCACGGCGGGGGACACCAGAAATGGGCTTCACACATTGTACCCATGTCGGGAATAGAAATGGGCTTCACGCATTGTACCCATGTCGGGAATCGAACCCGGGTGTTCGGCGTGACGAGCGAACGCTTTAACCCCCCCCCCCCCCCCCCCCCCCACGGCAGCTTTGAGTTTATTGTCATGAAACAGTAGAACTCCAGCAACTAGCAGTATCTCAGGCGATGAAGAAATCAGCATAGTAGGCACCGGTAATCGCATTTTGACATTCTAAGTAATCAACAAGGATCACATCCTTTGCATCCCAGAATACAGTGGCCATAACTTTATTCACTGATTTTGAAGACTTGAATTTCTTTGGTGCCGGAGTAGTGGAATAGTGCCATTCCATTGATTGACGTTCTGACTCGGTATCATAGTGGTAGATCCATGATTCATCATCCGTTACTAATCATTTTGAATTTGACAAAAATCCTTCTCACTTACCTCTGAATCTTCTCTGGCCATGTTAGTTCTTTTTTCCTCAACATCAGAATTTAAAACTTTGCCCCCACGAGCAGATATCTTATTCGTCTGTAAATATGCATGAATAATAGTTTCAATGGATCCATGGCTAAGACCTCCTCAAGTTCAGCAATGGCCATACGTCTATCTGACAGTATAAACTTTCCTATCTCCTTGATTGTATCTTCATTGATGGAAGTTGAGGGACGTCCAGACATTGGGTCATCATCAAAGCTTTGTCTCTCAGCCTTAAACATAGCTGCC